CAGGAGTGGGGAAGAAAAATGAGGTGTCGACGTGACGAGTGGGGGGAAGGAACAAAAGGGGTGGGGGTGAGAAGGTGACAAAAAGAAAGAACAAACTATAGTCTAGCACGCACCGAGCCACATTTGCAGGGGTGAAGAAATCTTTTCGTTGTGTGCGAATAACACTTTATATGTGTTTTTAATTTTTTAAAAATAAATGTGAACTCTTGTATCGAGACTGGCAAATCTATTTGTTACGTTTGTGTCCGTCATCTGGATGCTGGATAACTTACACTGCATATGATTTACTGCATCGATGAAACACATATTTAACGAAAAATAATTATAAATAAATAAAATAAAGTAACATTTTTTAACAGAAATAAATAAATACCACCCCACCCGAAAAAAGAACACAAAAAAACTAAAAACAAACAAAAACAAAAACGAAATTAAATATTTGAAAAAAGCCCTCACTCACATTTTTTTTGAAAGGGGGGGGGAGGGGGGTAAGTGTTTTCTGTTGATAGGAAATTTCAAATTTTGCCCATGTGGCAGCCGAAGCCTACTCTTATCGATTTTAGACATACAATTGACCTTAAACGTGTACAACTTGCACACGGGACGTCGAGATTTTTCGCCTTTGTCCGAGAAGGCTAGGTGTAATATCTTTCCTACAAGAAGATCAGGGGTGTGGCAGACAGGCAGCAGTAAGAAGGAGCCAAGGAGAAACAGTAGAAAAGCTGCAGAAAGAGTAGGGAGCCCAGAGGAGGGGGCAAAGGAGGTGAGGGGGCGGGGGCAAAAAGTGGAGACGAAAGCAGATGACAGAACATTGTTAGAGAGCAGGAAAGGAGGTGAAAGGAGACATTTTTAGAGAAGAAAATTGTTCTGTCGCTTCCCGGATTCGATCCCGGACCTTTGAATGAGAGGCTAATACCTTGACCTCTAGGCCACGAGAGCCCACTCACTCACATTTGACGGAGAGTTTTCTGGGTATAAACACACAAAAAAACTGACCACCCAAAAAAACCCAACCCAAAACAGAAACGAGAAAAAGTAAAAAATAAATCAAAAACAACACGCCAGTCACATTTTGCCGGTAATAAAAAATTCAGAACAACTACCCCCTTCCCTGCAACCCCCCCC